CCCAGGACCAGGGCCCAGATGTTCAGGCACTTGGCGGTGGAGGCGTAGGTCTGGGCCCCGATCATGTCACCCACCATCTTCCGGTCCCTAGACTGGGGAGAGGAGATGGAGAGGGGGATCAGGGGCGGGTCCTGGCGAGAGCCAGGCTGGTCCCCGTCCACAGCAGCCTCCACATGCCCTTCGCCCCGGTCGGGGACCCACCCCCCTTTCCCAGAGCCTGAGCAGGACAGTGGCCCTTGGGTCCCGTCCCTCCTGGGGCCTCTAGCTCCTTCTTCAGACTCTCGGCCTCTCCTGGAGACCCCAGGGCACCCCCTCCCTCTGCGTAGGTCCAGTCACTGGCCTCACACCCCATCAGGGCCGAACAGCCTTCGACTACCTCGTGTCCATTCTGGACAAGACTTGAGTTCGGAGTCCAAAGTGTGGAGGATGTAATTTCCCTAATTATTCTGGGAAGGACACCTTCTTGGGGAGGGTGGGGACATAGGGTGACCCTGCCATTCCCATGCCCTCCCATGCGGCCTCACCCTGTTCTCTCCCTGGGAATAGTCACACACACGCTCACACACACAGGGGCTCCCCGCACACCAGGTACCCTCTGGGCAGACGGGCCTCCGCAAGCTCACCTGCACTTTCTGGGAGAACCCCCCCCAACACACACACCCACCTTCACGGAGTAGGCAAAGGCCACGAAGCCCAGGCAGCACCAGTTCATGTAGACTGTGTTGAACAGGGACCAGACGATGTGGTCGGGCACGGACATCTCAGTCTGGATGTTGATCACGGTGGTGGCCATGGGAGCTGGACCTTGGGATGCCCCCATTACAGGAGGATCATGCTCCTCCTTGATCATGTTTCAGTTGGGGAAATGCCTTGTGGGCACCAGGGAAGAGGGACAGGAAGTGGTTGGGATGCCAGAGCCTTGACCTTTTGTAGGGTGAGGCCCGGATGTGGGTGGTCCCTGCTAGAGCTCAGCCCCATATCAGGGTCTCTCTCCCCGTCTCAACTCAGTACTTCTGCTTTCTCAGAAGTTTCTTTTTCCTGGTGTTTTGTAACTGGGTGACTTGGTCGGGCACTAGGGACATGGAAGGAGCACTGGGTGTCAGGTTACACCAGGGCAGGGCAGGAGGAAGGACTGCGGTCTCAGGGGGGCTTCCTGTCCCAGGCTCTCAGGTCGGGTCCTGTCTCTGCTCCCCTACCACATCCTCTGTCAGGGGTGTGTGGGCCCTGAGGACTTTTCCTCGGATGTGAGTCTCCCCCCCACTGCCCCCACCCCAGCCCCAAGCCTGCTGCAGGCTGCCATATGGACTCCACACTCCAGCCCCCAGAGAGAGCCCCCCGAAGCCCACACCTCAGCAGCCTCCAGCATCTCCCAAGGGTCCCAGAAACCAGGAGCCAGCTGTGGTGGGAGAAAGGAGGATCCGGGCCATTTGGCAGCTGCTGGGAGCACAGGGCCAGCATTCCTGAGCACCCCACCCTTCCTCCCTCCCTCCTGCCCCATCATGTCACCTAAGGCGCAGGATCTTAAGGGAAAGATGTAAGGGTTAAATTGTAGTGTAAGGCGAACGGGTAGCTTGAGAGGCAACAGCTTTGTGTTGACACTGTAGCTTGAAAAATAAAAGCTTTGTTTTGACACTGAAGGTTAAGAGATAACAGCCTTGCTTTACTCTTGTAAATTAGGCTTCACCAATTAAGGAAACAGAAGTTCAAAGAAAAGAGCATCAGAGGCAGGGTCAAGGAGATCCACTGGTTGCAACTTAAAGGCAGAAAGTCTAAAATAATCACCTCATCTGGGAACTATTTCTTTTATCTGTTCCCAGGTGATGATCAAACGATGTGATCGGCTATAAAAACTCTGTACCCCGGCTGTTGGGGGCCGCACTCCGATCAAAAGTGTTGGTCCCGATCTGTTGGCCTTGCCTCTCATTGCAATAAACTTTGTTGTGACTGTCACTGGTGCCCATAGCATTCTGTTTCAGGAGTCGTGTGGATGCAACAAAGGGTGGAGAGAAAACACACAGAGAGCCGACTCCTCAAGGGGCTTGCCCCACTGCTGGTCCTTCCTGAACTTACACACTTCCCTCTTCTGCCTCAATCCACCCCCACGGAAAGATGGGGTCATCAGAGAAAGAGAAATGTCTTACCTGAGGTAAAGCAATTTCTGTAACTCGGCTGCTAGATGGCCACACTGTCTCCCGCCCTCCCCACCCCCAGCCCACCTCTGCACACCAAGAACAGGGCGGAAGGAGGCCTCGCGCCCCCCCCCACCCCGCCCCAATCCTGGCTCAGTGCCACTGAGCCACCAGTGCCCCTGCTCTCTGTGGCCTCAGGCCAGGCCCATCCCCTGTCTCCTCTGGAGCTTCCAAGGCCCTCAGTGCCTCCTCCCTGTCCTGTCGTGTGACCACACTTGGCGGCCCTGTTGTCCTCACTGCCCTACTGGTGGTCCCCAACCCAGGTTGGCTCCCACCCCTCTGCGGCTTCGAGGCTGGCCTCACTGTGGCCACAGAGTGAGTTCCAGTGCAGAGCTGCAGTAACTATAAAACACACGTCCTTTTGAAGCCTTGGTGAGAAAAAACCTATTTATGAGATATGTATTTCATTGATAGCATTTTATATTGGTCATATGTTGAGATATTTTAGGTTTATTTCTTCAAATAAAATAGATCATTAAAATAACTCTTACGCAGGGGCACCTAGATGGCTCAGTCGGTTAAGCGTCCGACTTGGGCCCAGGTCATGATCTCCTGGATCATGAGTTCGAGCCCCGTGTTGGGCTCTGTGCTGACAGCTCAGAGCCTGGAGCCTGCTTCGGATTCTGTGTCTCCCTCT